GCTCATTGTCAATGAAGCATTACAGACACACAGAAAGAAGAATCTCCAGGGCTCTCCGTTTCCCCCTTCTTGCTTCTTTCATCACATCCAGCCCCATTAATTACTTCAGCTGCAGGCAGCTCACGCCCTCTGCAGCTCAACTCGAATCGAACCGGCCGTACCTGCCTCTTGTGACAGAAGAGAAGGCACTGAAAAAAGGCACACCCACCGTGGGACCGAGTGTAGTGTGGAGACCCAACAGGTGTACTCAGACATACAAAAATAAATAATTTTTTTAAAAATTGAATGCCTACAAACTGGTTCTAGTTTCCTCCTTGTCCTCGAATAAGAGGTAAAGAAAGTAGACCCTCATAGCTGAGCAACTCTCCTGAAGGGAAACTTGAGCACCGAGAAGGGGATGCAGCAGTAAGGCCTCTGGTATCACTGCTATCAAGTGCATTGGCACTGGCAAGTGTCACACAATTTTTCAGGACGCTTCTCCCCTCCTAAAGAAATCTTCTACCAGCTTGTCAAATGTCCGTGAGGAATTCTGCTTTAGCACATTTAAGGGAGTGAGTAAATACTGCTCCGCAAATCCAGTTGGAAAGTGCTCATCAGGAACAGGTGCCTGGCTAACAGCACTAGCTGCTCCTGCTGCTCCTGGCTGTTCTCCACTCAGCTCCTCCTTCCCTTTCTCCTTGCCCGTGTGACAAGTGCAACCTTCTTTCGAGCAGAAAGCTGACTCGCAGTAGTTCTGCTGAGGAACCTTAGTACCTGCGAACTCTTCAGTTTTCTCAGTGTGTTTATCTGGGGACTCATAAACAACCCCTCGGGGCCCAGAACACCAGGCAGCTCTTTGCAAGAAACACATGGGTTCCTGCCCCTTCCTTTTGCTTTGCTCCTGTACAGACTCTTGCACAGGCTTTGGGATTTTGAGGTCAGGAAGTGTCTGGGGGGCAGAACTTAGGTATTTCTGAAAGTAAGCCTGGCACGTGCCACCCTTCACGATTGGAATGACCGAGCAAGGCTTCAGCCACTTCACAAACTCGCACAGCTCCGAAAAAGATGAGTGATCCGAGTACGGAATGAGGTGGATGTTGGGGTGGGTGACCTTCACGGGCCGGCCAGTAGGGAGGATGGCAATAGTGGGGTGCAGAGTGTTCCAGCTGACAAGCGTATCCCAGCGGATCTCGGTGACATCCACAGCACGGATCCAGCCAGCCCCCTCCTCGGTGGTGAACACATCAGGT